GCGCCACCATGCCCAGCTAGTTTTTTGTATTTTTAGTAGAGACGGGGTTTCACCATGTTGACCAGGATGGTCTCAATCTCTTGACCTCATGATCCACCCGCCTCGGCCTCCCAAAGTGCTGGGATTACAGGTGTGAGCCACCATGCCCGGCCCCAAGTTTTTCTTTGAGTACTTTTTAATCTTTCTCCTCCCCTTGTTAACTTTCCCCAGATCCTAGTTTCAGTTTCTGTTGCTTTGGCTAGATTTTCAGGCCCAAGGGTTTTCACACTTGCCTGATTATCAAATTCAACTGGGAAAGATGAAATAACACAAGACTGCACGGATGTGAGGACAATCTGGCTGCGACATCTGTCACCCCATGAAGATTCCCAGGCCCTTTTCTGGTTTTCTGGAGACTCTGAAAGCACTCAGCATCTCAGTCTCTTGGGTAAGGCCTGGGAATATGTGTTTTTTTTTTTTTTTTTTTTTTTTGAGACGGAGTTTCGCTCTTGTTACCCAGGCTGGAGGGCAATGGCGCGATCTCGGCTCACCGCAACCTCCGCCTCCTGGGTTCAGGCAATTCTCCTGCCTCAGCCTCCTGAGTAGCTGGGATTACAGGCACGCGCCACCATGCCCAGCTAATTTTTGTATTTTTAGTAGAGACGGGGTTTCACCATGTTGACCAGGATGGTCTTGATCTCTCGACCTCGTGATCCACCCGCCTCGGCCTCCCAAAGTGCTGGGATTACAGGCGTGAGCCACCGCGCCTGACCGGGAATATGTGTTTTTATTCAACACCCCCAGGGACAAGTTCACCTTTGGGGACTCCTGCAGCGTTGTCCCAAAAGCACATAGAGGAAGGTCTAGGGGAGAAAAACCTCTTTCCCACCCAGTGCTAGGTTCATGGCTGAGTCCTCCTAACAGAAGATAGATTAACAAGAGAAAAGCATACACATCGATTAAACTAAGTTTTATGTGGCACAGGCGCCTTCGGAAATGAAGACCTAAAGTAACAGGAAAATCTGTGTACACCACATCCGTGAATAACGTTGTTTCATTTAACATCATTTTGTTATAACGCTGATGAGAAAAAAATCTGTTTCTCCTGGAAGCTGCTGTCTGTGTGGGTTTCCTCCCACAAATCAAAAATGTTCACATTAGGTTCCTTGGCTATCTACATAGTCAGTCTGAGGTGGGGAGGGGAGGGAACGTGCAGGCGCATGTGTGTGTGTGTGTCGGGGGGGGGGGGGTGAGTGAGAACCAGTCCTATGATGGAATGGCCAGCTGTCCAGGGTGCGTTCCCACCTAACACTCTGAGCAGTGGAACTAGGCTTCAGCCACCCAAGACCTTGAACCAGAGTAAGCAGGTTGAAAAAAATAAAAATTCAGGAAGCATACCATCATCCTACAAATGCATGGCAATCGATATGGTGCTAAAGCACTCAGCCACTGTATTCTTGTTTTTGAACGGTGTGGTGGTAGGAATTGCTCCCTACAATTGTTGTTTTGCAAACATTTATTCCTTGCTATAACTGATCACCACTAGAACTGCTGTCACTGATTCACCAAAAATTGGGTAAAAATTATATTATTTGTTTTTATTAATCTTAAGTATATGTATAGCTCATTTCTTTCAATATTTAATATTAGAAGTGTCTGGAGTCTTTATTTAGAAATTTGGTGTTTTGTGACCAGAAATTTGCCATACTTAACTCTTGTTTGTATCAATTAGTGTAGTCTATGGTAAAATTGGTTTTGTTTTGCTTGAAGTGATAGTTTCCAAGAACCAATCGACAGTGAGGACTTCCTATATTTTTATGCTTGGGTTTGATGAAGAAGTAGATAGTCCTGTAGAAGTATAATTGGACAATGGGGGTGTGATCTAATTGTTATAAACTGGGGTGAACTTAGCAAAGCCTGTTTCTTCAGATTCTCCTTGGCATGTCCGTGTGTTCATTTCTTTCCTCCAGGTATAGGGAAGAGCTGGCTCTGAAATGACAGTCTTAACACCCACTTTAATGGGAAGATCAGCTAACTTTCATGGCCCTATTTACCGAACAAGGGCCCAGAGAAAGAGACGTTTCTGCTTCTGCTATTTTCTCAAATGCGAAGGTGCCGTATTTTGGAAGTAGTGTGACCTGAACTCCGTCAAAAGACGTCTAAGTGTTTTTAATCTCTGGATGACAGGGCCGCGTGTGGCTCACGCATTGCAGGTATACCGTGGCCATTTCCATGTGTATCCATTCCTAGGCGCGCAGTCCAGCTGGCTGTGACCGGCCGGGAGGGCCAGGCCTGGAGCTGGGGAGGTCCCTAACGTAGGCTAGATGTTGTTTTCAGGTTTCCAAGGAGAATCAGGTCCCTTAAGGGTGGGAGCGAATCAGAAGAAAACAGAAAAGATGAAGGATTTGCTCCAGAAGCTCATTTGTGGATTGACTGTCGTAGCAAGGTTTGGCGAGCGGCGGGAGCGCCTGGTGGTTGTGCCGGGAGTGGGGAGGTCTGAGCCCCGTCCAGGAGCGCGGAGGCGTCTGCAGCCACAGGTCGCCCCGCTCCTCATACCTTCTGCTCCGCGGAGGGTCCCCCGGGAAGAGGCGCCGTAAGCGCGGGTGTGCCCTTCTCGCTCCTTCTCCTCCCAGTGCGCAGCTCGGGACTCTCCACACCAGCGCCTCCGAGCCGCGAAACGCAGCGCGCGCAGGTTCCGCGCCCCGAGGCCGGGCGTGGGAACCTTCGGGAGCGGCGACCGGGACCGGCGCGAACCTCTGCAGTTCCCCGCCTGTCGTTTCCCCACGTGGACCTGCGTTCCAGCGGCGGCGTTCCGGGGTTTCTGTTTCTCCTGCTGCGTTCTGCTCGCGGTTTCGCGGCAACGGTTCCAAGCAGAGACGGCCCCATCGCAGACCTTCCCCGGGGGCGGCCGGGCTGCTCGCAGTCCCGCGGGCCGCTGTCGAGCGGGCGTCCCGGGCTGAGCTGCGACGGGAGATCCCGGGCCCAGCCGGAACTTTCAACATCCTTTTTCCTTGTCTCAGCGTTGCCAGGAGACAATATCCAGTACAGCGAATTCAAAACGCAGTTCGACTTAATGTGCTGCTTGGCACAACCGGAAATCCTGACAGGCCATAGAAATATTTTGGCCAAGGGAAGTCGTAAGGGGGTGTAGCTCAGTGGTAGAGCGCGTGCTTAGCATGCACGAGGCCCCGGGTTCAATCCCCGGCACCTCCACTTTTTCCACCGCCCTCCTGGTTGTGGCATTGTTTGCAAGACTACGTCCACCGTGTCCACGACTCGCCTCGGTTTTGTTTCGTTTTTTGTTTTTGTGGCACTTCCATTCTCTATCAGTTCTTCTAATTCACATGGAAAACTAGGAAAACAAACTCTGTTTTGCTTTTAATATGGATTCATTTCTGCCCTAAGGCTTTGACATCACTCTGGGTGTCTGGGTTAAGAGACAAAAGACCAGACGAAAGACGCCCGGGAAGCACAGACTGGCTCAGAATTCCAAAAGCCGAAAAACAAGCAAGTCACCAAGCTAACAAGCCTAATCACATTGGTTACATTTCCCAGTATTATCGAAGAGCAAGCAAGAAAGAAAAAGACCAAAAACAAATGCGAAACTACAGGTATTTTCTTTAGATCCCTTCTTTCTTGAGCTCTTCCTTGATCAAAGGACAGACCCAGAGGATGGAAAAAATGTCCCGGATTTTAGGACTCATATGTGATAAAGTTTTGGTTTACAGCTTCAGGAGTCACATATGAAAAGGTTCTGGTTTACAGTTTTAGGACTCACAATGTGAAAAGGTTTCTGGTTTGATATTGTTTTAAGTAACAATAGTGCCTTTGGGAGAGTTTCCCCAAGACCAAGCCTGCCACCTACAGGAAGGTGAAATCGGAGGCGCTAGCCGGTCAGCCTTTTCTCGTATTGAAATGCAGTGTGACAGTCAAAGGGAAGTTGATCTCAGACGCCTGGGTCTCCTTCTTCACCGGCAGTTATCTGGAAGGAGTCTGCAGCAACCTTAATTCTTGCCCCTTCAGGAGAAAGAAAGAATTCCATTGAGGGGCATAGGCAGAAGGAGGGCCAGAGGCAAGCCTTAACAGCAGGAGTGAACGTTTGTTAAAAAGATTGATAGCGGCAATGAAAGGAAGGCAAATACATGGGAAGAGGGCCAAGCGGGCGACTTGAAGGACCAGGGGTATGGCTTGACGTCTCGGACTGGGGAGGTAAACGCTGGCATACTTCCTGGATCTTTTGTTACTTCTCCCCGTTGCTGAGATCTTACTAAGCAGTGACTGGCGCCCAGTGTCAGGTGTTTTCTATCTATTAAGAAACGGCCTTTCTGTGGCACCAGCTGTGAGCAATTTTTACTTCAGAAAAATCGTTAACAACCGCCTGACCCTTTACTTCTGGTGCGTGTGTGTGTGGAGAGCCCCCTCCTGCCCTGCTCACACCTGTGCCACCGACTGTAACAAAATCATACAAGCTTCATACAAGCCCTTGGCAAAGAGCCACTCCTGTGCCACCTCTCAGGCCTTGAGGCACAAGTATTAATGGCATGGTCTGCCCTCAAAAGGATGGATCAGCGAAGAGCCCTGTGCAGAATGGAGGATCAGGGTTGTTTCGGTAGTGAATCCTGGGAGCTCAGGTAAGTAGAGTATAGACTCCATGCCTAAAGGGACATTTACTGCCAGGAAAGGGCCCAGGGCATAAGCAGCCATTGCCCAGGATTACGTGTGATACTGGGCGTGTGCCGTAAGTGCAAGGGCATATTTGTGCTTGACAAACCCACAATGGTCCTTTCCAGTGCGATTCTAAGGTTAATCTTTCATGCTGTCTTTTCCAAAATACCGTTTCCTGACCCGCGGATGTATCTGATTTGGAAATGCAATTGAGACCTGCTGGACAGGACTGACATTAGATTTTGATAATTCCTGCAAAATTAGAGTGTAACGAGGTAGAATGTCAGAGAAAGAATCAGTCTAAACTTCATAGATTTCTTTTTAAAATTTATCTATTACAAGACCCTAAGCGGGCTTTATTTTTTCTTTTCAACATCCTGTTTTGCAGCTTCCTTGGCTCTTTTTGCCCGTATGTCAAAGAGCCAGGTGTTGGCACCGGTCCCTGCTGAGACTAGGGAAAGCTTTGAAAGTCCTCTACTTCTCAGTGGTAGCTCAGGCTTTCTCCTCCTCCTCCTCCTTCTTTTTTTCCTTTCGTTTCTTTTCTTTTTCTTTCTTTTTCTTTTTTTTTTTTTTTTGAGATGGAGTCTCGCTCTGTCGCCCAGGCTGGAGTGTAGTTGCGGCATCTCGGCTCACTGCGGCAACCTTCGCCTCCCGGGTCCGGTTCAAGCAATTCTCCTACCTCAGCCTCCCAAGTAGCTGGGATTACAGGCACGAGCCACCATGCCCAGTTAATTTTTGTATTTTTTAGTAGAGACGGGGTTTCACCATGTTGGCCAGTCTGGTTTTGAACTCCTGAACCAAATTGATCCACCCACCTCGGCTTCCCAAAGTGCTGGGATCACAGGCGTGAGCCACCGCGCCCGGCCGGGCTTTCTCCTTCTTACAGAAATTCCGGATGGGCATGACCGGTCCTGTCAGCTGGGTGACCAGTTTCAGTTCTTCAGCAGAACTGTCTCCCTTCTTGGGGGCCGAGGGCTTCCTGGGAAAGAGGGTGCGTTTGGAGAAGTGCTCCTTGAGCCGCCGCACATTGGCCTGCAGGGGCTCGGTGGACTTGTGCTGCCCTCTCGAGTCCACAATCTACAGAGATGTCAGTGATCCCAGCCACCTTCTTGTGAATGTCCGTCACCCTGAGCTCCTCCGGGCTGAAGCCGCGGCGGGCGCACACCTTGGTTTGATACCGCACAGGGGGGCACCGCGTGAGGAGCCAGAGGGGTCTCAACGCGGGCCGCGCGGGCGATGCAGCGCGCCTTTGGCTTGCGCGGGCCTTGAGTCTGCGGATCTTCAGCGCAGGCTGGGTGAACCACGTGGCCACGCGCCGCTGCCAGTCCTGGGGGAAGTGGGGCTTCAGGATCACGCCGTTCCGGCTGGGCCCACGGCTGCCTACTGCCTCCTGCGCGGATGCTTTATACATCTCCACAGCAGTGTTATGTAGCAAGGTTTTATGGCGAGTTTTGTAGCATAGATCATATTACTGTAGGGCTGACGGTAAAGTTTTAGTTTAAGGAAAGCTCTGAAAATTTGTAAACGTGTAACCGCCTAATGGGTTTAGCTTGCCTGCTGCCAAGACAGGACAATTTATCAAGACAGCGGCAGGCAGAGCCGGCCGTGCGGGGAAAACCCGTTTTATTACTCAAATCACTCTCCCCAAGTGGACTGGCGTTTTTAAGGATAATTTGGCGGGTAGGGGACCAGTGAGTTGGGAATGTTGATTGGTTGGGTAGGAGATGAAATCACAGGAAGTGGAAGCTGTCCTCCTGCCTTGACTGAGTTCCTGGAAGGGGCCACAAGACCAGCTGAGCCGGTTTATCGTGATTGGTGGTGCCAGCCAGTCCACAGAGTGCGGGGTCTGCAAATACCTCAAGCACTGATCTTAGGTTTTACAATAGTGACGCAATCCCCAGGAGCAATCTGGGGAGGTTTAGAGTCTTGCCGCCTCCAGCTGCAAGACTCCTAAGCCAAGTTTTCTAATCTTGTGGCTGATTTGTTAGTCTACAAAAGCAGTCTAGTCCTGCAGGCAGGAAGCAGGTTTCTTTAGGAAAGGGCTGCTATTGTCTTTGTTTCAAAGCTAAACTATCAGCTAAGTTCCTGCCAAAGTTAGGTCAGCCTACAACCAGGAATGAACAACGACAGCTTGGGAGTTAGAAGCGAGATGGAATTGGTTAGGTCAGATCTCTTTTCCAATGGTGTTTTCAAATGCTGCTTTAAAGAAGACCATAAATTTGTGCTGCTTTCTCAGATTTTGAGAATAAGAACCAAAAGTATATGTTTTAATGGGAGAACCTTAAGAATTTCACTACTGAAGTGGATTTCTGTGTCCATTAACATTGCCAGACATTTTGTATTTCCCAGGTAGGAAAACAAAATCTGCAAGCTTTGAATGATACTTGCGATTATGTTTTGATAACAGAGCTGCTGTACTGTTCCTCTTTCAAATGCTCAGTAGCCACATGTGGCATGTCATACCTACCAAGTGGATGGCACAGATATAGAACATTTTCATCATTGTAAAAAGCCCTGTTTGACAACACTAACTTAAAGTATTAATCTTTTAGAAGGGAAAGCTGCAGTCTGACCAAAAATTACACAATTTTACTTTTGAAGATATTGTTGAAACATGTTCCATTTTTAAAAATTTTGGACAACGGAATAAAATCTATTTGTAAATGCCCAAATGGTACTTGAGGTGAAAACCGGAAAGCTTGCTATAGCTGTAGTTTTTTGTAGGGTTTGACTAAACATAAAGAAGATTCAGGCACCCATAGAGCTTCTTGAGGAAAATTTTCTAAGAATAATTTTGAAAATTTGGAGTGAATTTGTTCTTTCCCTTATTTATGGGTGCTTTCAAGTGTTCAGCACATCCGAGTTCTGGAGAATGACTGAGGCGCCACCCAATGGCTGTTTTGGGAAGACCAAGGTCCTTTGCCTTCTGAGAGTTTTGAGATGGTCACTATCTTTCCGTATGGTAGATTCTTGTTTTTGAATATGCCCGTCTGGGTTTTTTAAACACAGAGAAACTGTTTTTACAATACCTATAGTAGTTGTCTAGGGCAGTTGCTCTAGCCTCGAAAGTTCTAACTTTAGAATGGGCTTGAATATACACAACTGAGTTATTTTCCTCTGATAAATCATTAACATTTTCCCATGTTTTATTGTAGTGCTCATGGCAGTTTAAAATACCTTATAATAGCATATAATAATATATATGAACAACCTGAAGCCATATGTATATGAACAAGCTAAAGTCACATGTATGCTTGTACACAGGTTAACTCTTTTTTTTTTTTTGAGACGGAGTTTCGCTCTTGTTACCCAGGCTGGAGTGCAATGGCGCGATCTCGGCTCACCGCAACCTCCGCCTCCTGGGTTCAGGCAATTCTCCTGCCTCAGCCTCCTAAGTAGCTGGGATTACAGGCACGCGCCACCATGCCCAGCTAGTTTTTTGTATTTTTAGTAGAGACGGGGTTTCACTATGTTGACCAAGATGGTCTCGATCTCTCGACCTCGTGATCCACCCCCCTCGGCCTCCCAAAGTGCTGGGATTACAGGCTTGAGCCACCGAGCCCGGCCACAGGTTAACTCTTAAATCTTCACCAAGATTCATCATGCTCAAATTGGAACTACAGTTGCGCTTTCACACAAAGGCCTTTCCATCAACAGCTGACCACATACACGACTGTGGTTTTGTAAGACTGTAATACCGTAGTTTTACTGTACGTTTTCTGTGTTTAAATACACAAATACTTACCTGTCTGTTCCACTGTCCTACAGTATTCATACAGTAACATGCTGTGGTGGTTTGCAGCCTAGGAGCAATAGGTATGGGGTAGGCTCTACCATCTAGGTTTGTGTTAAATAGTTTCTAAGATGTTCACACAGTGATGAAATGGCCTAACGACTGATTTCTCATATCAGATCCCTGAGGTTGATCTAGGGATAACTCTGTTAGTCCAGTCGTCTGGGTAGGTGTTAGCAAAGGGATTGTTGCCATTACAGAAAATTAAGAAGTTATGGTATCTCCAGTACAAAAGTATACCTTGAATTTGTTTTATTTTATTTATTTATTTATTTTTTTGAGATGGAGTTTCGCTCTTGTTACCCAGACTGGAGTGCAATGGCGCGATCTCGGCTCACCGCAGCCTCCGCCACCTGGGTTCAGGCAATTCTCCTGCCTCAGCCTCCTGAGTAGCTGGGATTACAGTCACGCGCCACGATGCCCAGCTAATTTTTTGTATTTTTAGTAGAGATGAGATTTCACCATGTCGACCAGGATGGTCTCCATCTCTCGACCTCGTGATCCACCCACCTCGGCCTCCCAAAGTGCTGGGATTACAGGCTTGAGCCACCGCACCCGGCCGAATTTGTTTTATTTTTAATTGAGAAACAGCACTGATACCTTGATGAATTTTTAAAGATATGAACCATCAAAAAATCAGAGTTCCCTGAGGGGAAGTATCAGTCAATACATGGAATGATTTTGTATTTTTCTCTGATAAAGGGATCAAGAAGGGCTAATCAGTGCACCAATATCAATAGACAATTCCGATCATGTCAGCCTTCTTCACCAACTCTTAAAAATACTCACGTTTTACTTCACCAGACCTTTCTGCCCTTTTGCTTTTTATGTTACTGTTTTGTTGTATGTTTGTTTGAAGAGAAGAGGCCTCGTGCTATTGCCCAGGTTGGAGTGCGGTGGTGTGATCTTAGCTCACTACAGCCTCCAAGTTCTGGGCTCAAGGGATCCTTCCACTGTAGCTTCCTGAGTACCTGGGACCACAGGTGGAGCCACCTCAGCCGACCTCACCACACCTTTGCCTCTGAAAAAAAGCAGTCAGCACACACCCCTCTATCCCAGATCCTAACAGGACTGTTTTAGAATTTCTACTTTTACATATTCTTTCTCGTATAATCTTTGCCTCATTATAGCTTGCAAACAGTAATGAATCCGAAAACACTTCTTTCTCCATCTCAGTATGTCTCTAATCCTCTCCCCTGGACTATGTTTAGCTACTAGACTTTCCTTAGGGAGGTAAGTGCAGCATTCCTGCCATGAAAGGACACTGCACGTATTCACAGTATTAAAGTCTTCCACTCCATGAGCACAGGATGCCTTTCCATTTATTTGTATCTTCTCGGATTTCTTTTAGTATATTCACAGTATTAAAGTCTTCCACTCCACAAGCATAGGATGCCTTTCCATTTATTTGAATCTTCTCGGATTTCTTTTAGCAATGTTTGTAGTTTTTCCTATACAAGTCTTTTACCTCCTTGGTTCAGTTTATGCCTAAATATTTCATTATTCTTGGTGCTATAGTAAATGGGATTGTTTTCTTATTTTTCTTTTCAGCTTCATTGTTAGCTTGTAGAAATGCAACTGACTTTTGTGTGTTCCTTTTATACCCTGCTACTTTTCTAAAATTGTTTATTAGTTGTAACAGTTTTTTTTTTTGTGTGTGTGGGAAGGTCTTCAGGGTTTCCATATATAAGATCATGTCATCTGTAAACAGATAATTTTAGTTTTCTTTTCTAATTTGGATGGCTTTTGTTAATTCTTTCCTTCCGTTTCTTTCAAGATGGGGTCTGGCTATGTTGCTCATGCTGGAGTGCAACGGTGTGATCTCAGCTCAGTGCAAGCTCTGCCTCCCACGTTCAAGTGAACCCTGCCTCAGCCTCCCAAGTAGCTGGGATTACAGGTGCGCACCATCATGCATGGCTAGTTTTTGTATTTTTGTGTGTGTGGAGATGGGGTTTTACCATGTTGCCTAGGCTGGTCTTGAACTCCTGGGCTCAAGCAATGTAGCTCCTCAGCCTCCCAAAGTGCTGGGTTTCCAGGCGGTCATCACCGCACTGGACCTCTTTTTCTTGTTGATTGCTCTGACTAGGACTTTTAGTGCTATATTGAACAGTAGTGGTGAGAGTAAGCATCCTTGCCTTGTTCTAGATCTTAGAGGAAAAGCTTAAGGCCACTGAGTATATTACCTGTAGGCTTTTCATGTATGGCTTTTATTAAGTTGAGGCAGTTTCATTCTATTCCTAGTTGCTGAGTCTTTTTTTCATAAAAGTGTGCTGACTTTTGTTGAGTCCTTTCTCTATGTCAATTGAGATGTCTATGTGATTATTGTCTTTAATTTTATTAATATGGATTAATTAATAATATGCATTGATTGGGCTGGTCGTGGTGGCTCATGCCTGTAATCCTAGCACTTTGGGAGGCCAAGGTGGGTGGATCACCTGAGGTCAGGAGCTCAAGACCAGCCTGGCCATCATGGTGAAACCCCATCTTAAAAAAAAAAATGCATTGATTGTTGTATATTGAACAATCTTTGCATCTCAGCTATAAATACCACTTGGTCATAGTGTATAATCCTTCTAATGTGATGTTGAATTTGGCTTACTAGTATGTTGTTAAGAATT